GTGCCTCTCTTCTGAGTGTCCCTGCCCCCATCTTAACCTTACTCATCCTTGACTTCAAGCTCAGTAGCACAGAAACTTAATGTTTCAATTAAAAGTGAAAATTCCTCATTGGCTGTTGCAAATACAACCTGTATCTGATTTCCCCCTAAAATTCAAGTCCTAACAACCTGGAGGCAAAATTTCATCTTCAGGCATGGCTCTGATGTGAGATTTTAAGATGTGACAGAAAACCATGAAGACCATAATTTTGGAACACATAGATTTTGTTTCTATCTTGCCTGTGTCATGATATGTTGAGCCAAAAAAGGTTTCATTTTCTAGGATCAGCACTATTGGGACTGAAGGCATAGTAGCTCACAAATTTTGTCTTTCATAGGGCTTAAGCCCTTGCATTTCAGCTCCATTTAATTTTGGGGGGTTGTGATCATGCTATGTATGTATTCATTTACATTATTCAAGTGATCAAAAGTTGGATCCAGGAAGCTCATCTTCATTTGAGGTGTTTTCTTCATGGGAGTCCTGTATAAACTGAACCATTTCATTCAAAGAGTTTTGTTCATCAATCTCACTTTCTTGAGATATGGCTATCTCTGCATCATTTTGGTCTTGAATCCCCACTATTCTGATCTTGTTATTTCCAGTTTTCTTGTCCCCATATGAGAGAATGATGATTGATTTTGGTGGTGGCTTTGTCTTTTTTAGGGGTTTTTCTGGCTGAAGTCTTGACTTGTGCATTGGGTCTTCTCTTGTGTTGAGCTTGTGAGTCCTTGCTTAAAGCCATGTTGAGATTTTGGCACTGTCAATCCTTCTGTGTTCCCAGATCAATTTTCTTCCTTGCACAGACATCAAGCCTATGTTCTCTCAGTCAAGCACCCCTGGGTGGTCTCAAATATTGAAAAAAAGGGGCTCAACAATTGGTACCCCCCAAAGGTTGCCCCTGACGGATGACTACTGCAGCTGTAGGTTGATATATTAGCAACAATGTGGATTAAAATCACAAAACATTGTGAAACTCTGAAAAGAATATGTGTCCTGTGAGAATCCAACCCACATTTCTTATCTCCATGTCAAGTGTACTACCACTATACTAAGGACTTGTGTATATTCCTTTTACTGCGAATTTTAGATTTTCATTACCAACAATTATGAATCTGTGTGAAAGATTTTTTGTTGATTATTCGATCTGTTCACTTCTAAAGCTTGGTCAAATCTGTTGCTGGTGTTTTTTTATTAGTCATATCTTATCTGCCATCGGGATCAGTTGGAATACATAATTGATGGAGTGATCCTCATGGCCTCAGGATATTATTGTGTGTGGATTTGTACTGCCATTCTAGTTCATCTTCTAACCTTCATATCCTGCCACAGCTTGACATTGAAAAACTACCATGAAAGGTGTTGTGGCGGTAGTTATTGTGTCTATGCATAACCCTGAAGCAAATGGCCCCAATTCTCAATGTGTGCAGCGAGTCTGACTTGAGCGAGCGGCAAGTTTTCATGAAAAAAGCGCGTGTATCTTCCTATTTTACCAGCCAGAGGAAAAACGTGACGTTCTTGAAAGAAGAAAGAAACAACAGCAAGACCAAAAGATTCTGATAAAAGAAGAAAAGATCGGATCGTGACCAAACGCCGTTACTATTGGCATCAGAGGAAAGTGGCGGATACGAGAGCGCCAATCGACAGGAAGATGATGTTAACACTGAAGCTAGAGGCGGAAGAGTTAGAAGGTTTCTCGGGGGCTTTGGTATCGACTATGGGAACGGTGTTAGAGCCAGGTTGGTTGGAAGAGCCTGCATTGGAGTTATCGCCAGGTTGAGGAGAGCTGGAGGAGGTGGTGGTGGTGTTCGAAACGTGGCGACTTGCGTCCATAACGCAGCCTTTGCACTCTGTGATTACGTTAATGCAAACGGGCGGTTTGTTCAGTCCACCTGAACTCTCAAGTCATTGTTGATTGGTGGTGGGGTGTGGGGGGTGCAACTTACCGGCTTTCCCATCCGTCGGGCCAAAACAATTGAAACTGCCATTCTCGTTGATGCAAACTGAACCAATCCCAGCCCGCATCAGTTTGTTTATCTCATCACACAGCTGTGATGGGAGGAGGGTCACTGATAAGACTTACTGGTCATGGCTGCCGACGACTTTCCATATCCAAGCGTGCATTTCTCCGTGGTCTTCGACGCTTTCACGTCGTTTCCAGGATTGCGCGTGCACTGAGTGGCGGCTACAAACGAACATAAAAATTAGAGGAATCAAATTGAAAAAAAAGACCCCGGGTAAGAATAGGGAGAGAAGATGACGTGGCCACTTACTGACATAGCCGGCGCAGCCTCCGGTGCACTTATAAATTTCGTTGCAGGCTGGAGGAGGGTGAGAGCGCAAGAAGATAGAAGATAACAGGGTTCAGCGTGTATGAAAGCCCACGAGGGCATGCAGAAATCATGGACATCGGTCTTACTAGCAGTAGGCGACCGCGCATCGGTATATGTGTGACAGTCCTGGTCGTGGTCATGCTGGGGGTGGTCATGCTGGTCGTGGTCATGCTGGTCGTGGTCGTGGTCTTCGTGATCTCCAAGAACAACCGTTCCAATGCCAATTATAAACACGGCGGAATAGAGCATTGATCTCAAAGTTATAGGCCGGAAAACCATCGTGAGTGAGGTCGTAACGGGTTCTTGAAATACTTTTGAAGAGGGGTGGAACACTGTCTAGACGTGTTGTTCAGTATTAAGTAGGAGTTGTACGGGTATACTATTACGACCAACGAAATTTATATGTGTATTTGGCTGCAAATTATCTTCCTTATTGAAATACAGCGAACGTTTCCGTGGTACTAGCTTGAAGAATAAATTAAATATGTCTTAAAATTGTGGCTGATGGCCGCAGTCGGAAGACGAAATGTGGCGAGCTTTTTACTATCTTCAAGCGAGGAACGGTGCGACATAGAGAGAAGATGGAGCTTGGTGGAGGGATCGATGACACGCGTCACGGTGGTATAGATTGTGAGGACAGAGTACAGTCACCAGATGTTTATGATGTGCCCGATCAAACGTATCAACAGGTGATATGGGTATGATAAAGGTTACATGAAGGTGCGTCATGAGCATCAAGCTGGAAACGGGCTCTCTATCAGTATCATGGCTCATGTGAAGGCTTCCCTCGGGAACTCTTCCCAAGAAGCTTTTCTCATCCAACAAGAACGCTCCCCGGCGGGACAAGCGCATTCCAAATGTGTACCCACCTTGGCACTTCTTTCTTCTTTGTGGAGGTTACATGAAGATACTTATAACGGCTCCGCGAAACAGTCAAGAAGACCTGCTCCTCGACCTGGTATGGACGACGAGCAAGATTGACTTTTCTTTTATGTGGTCGCGTCGACTCTGTCTGCGCTCGTCAAGAAGTATGAGGGTCGACGCGATTCCCAACCTTTTTGATACATGTTCCGCCGTATGGCTATGATACATGAGTAGTTATTTTGTTTGCAAACAAGCTTGTACTCGTCGCTGAGGCACCATAGTCGCGACACACTGATCAGCAGAACGGGAAAACGTATTATGAAGCAGCTTTTTAATTCTGATTAGCACACCCCATTGATGCCTGCCTATGCCTGGCCTCAGACTAGCGCTAGCCCCATCCAACGAAAAGAAAAACTACAAACGTCATCGACTTGCCTCTCAAAATAGCCTAGCCTTACCTGCCCAGACAAGTCAGAGTAGCCCCACGAATAGTTTGGTGGTGTAATTGCCCACCACCAACCAGAGAATTCGCAAAGTGGATTTCAAATCTGGACGGCGTGATGTTGATTGGCATTCGCCACCTCAGATGCTCAGCCCTAGGGCTTTTTTGATTTCTTAGTCGGAAGTGTTTGTGGACAGTTTACACCTGATCCCACTGGTACGCCACTACTCATGCATAAGGGCTGTAGATCGAGCTGTCATTTTTAACCAGCCACTCAGGAGAGGAGCCAGCTCCTCACGAGCCTACTGAAGCTTGCCCGAGAGGAATGGCTATGTTATACTACTTATACGATGCCCCATCGGCAGACTATCCTCAAGTCCAAGGGTATTTTCGTCCCTGCCGCACTTAGCCTCGGTGTGGTCCTCTCAGCCCTCCAGGGCAACATGGGATGGTGTAGCGACAGGAGAGGCGTAGAACATGGTACGTAGAACGCACATTTTCCCTTAATTCACCTCAGGCAGCCTCAGGCCGATTCCTCTCAACGAGAAGACGTGTGATGGAGACGGTATCGGCATGTTTCCCGACTCGATATCTGCCTCTTTGAACCAGATTTGGCAACTCTGGCCGTCGACACAAAGATCAAAGGACAAAAGAACCATGGATAGTACAATTACCGCTCAATACAACGGGAATGTTTGTCTTGTCTTGTTATGAAGAACAAAAAGGTCGATTGTAGAAACAGAAGGAAGATCCGTTGGCGCCCCTGTGCTATTGCTAAGTGCAGCAAAACTATCCACAGATTCTCTCCGGTTGCCCAAGCCAAGTATCTACAGCTTTGATTCCGATATACTGCTTTTCCTAATTCCAGTAAAAAAGAAACCAGCCGAAGCCCTGAGTCCATCCGGAAACATCACTCAGGCAGAAGAATATCCTGACCAGCCTGAGTCGCTTTGCCTCAATAGACTATGCCATCCTTCTGCCCGTCCCCCACGAGCTTCGCATTATTTAAGGAAGGTCTTCCTCTCCCGGCAGCTGCCCTCACTCACTCACCAAGAGTTTCACTCCCAGTTAACCAAGCCATCACAATTCAACTCCATATCCTCCCCTTTCTTCTAAAAATTCCTAATCCGCCATGGTCACCTACAAAGTTCCGAGTTCCCCTTACTCCTCCTCAGGTTCCTCCTCCTCCTCCTCCTCCTCCCCCTCCTCCCCCTCCTCCTTCTCCCCTCCTCAGCGAAGATTGCTGCGTCGTTCTCCTGTGGCTAGCACGAGCCAGAACGCGACGGCTGGCAGCAGTGGTGCCTCGCCTCGTCATCCGCCAAGGGTGCGCGCCCACCGCACCTCTTCAACATGGGTACCTTCCAGGCTTGCCCATACCATCTTGTTTGATAGTGAGCGGGGTATCATGGATGCTTACGCCGCTCAACCACGCAGATTGAAGCTCAACACGCCGAAATCTACCAAGCGAGGTAAACCCCTCATGGGAGCCTTGGGCCGGAACCCTGACCAGTCAAACCGCCCACTTGACACTGTGTCTCTCCCGTCTTCCGAAGACTTTTCTTCGCCACACACATCTCCCCCTTCCACCCGGGCCTCTTCCCCAGAATTGGCAGGGCCTTCTTCTTCACCGGAACCTCCCCTTTACCTCCCCGCTCCCCCTGAATCACCCGAAAGCCCCGGACCATCGGATACCCGGTCTCCCCGCGATCCTGCTGCCAGCCCCCCTCCCTCCGGCCAGTCCCCCCCGAGAGCGTCTGGAAGTTCCACCTTTGCCGTCCGGCCCGCCCGCGAGGTCTCCTCCAGACGCTCTGCCAGCCCTGAGGCTCTTCCTTCCCAGGAATCCCGGCCGGCCTCGGCGTCTTCGTCTCGTATTCCCTCCTGGAGCTTCCGCGCGTCTTTTGCCAGACGTTCCCCCAGCTCAGCATCTCGTGTCCCTGCATCGGCCCCGGCAACGCCGAGCCGCTCTGGGGATTCATCTTTGCCCACTCGCGGCTCCGGCCGGGGCACCCCCAAACGCCCCACGAGTTCGACTGATCCTGGTCGAGGAACCCGAACCGCCCCCACTAGCCCCACCCGCAGTATTATCGAAATTCCTCTGGTCTTCTCCCCCTCCGATCCTTTCCCTTACATTGCGAGACGCTCCCCATTCGTCAATGTTCCTCCTGGCAGTGATGGAAGGGCTGCCGCTTCATCGCAGCGATCAGTCTCGACTGGCTTTCTAGTAGGGTCCGTATTTCCCCTCACCAGCTCTCCTTATCACCATTGTCATTTCTCACACGCGACCCTTCCGGACTCTCTCCGCAGGTCGAGTATGCTTTCGAGGTCGACGGATGCCGGCAGCCGTCCACTACGACCGCCGTCCGGCCCCCCCAGGCCGGTATACTCATTCCGCCGGCTGAACGCGCCCCCTCCAGCTCCGCCG